GAATACTAGTAGCCTACGAATTAATTTTAAATTACAGTAGCTTTGGTAGACAAAGCGATATTGCAGTGAATCTATACATCAAACGAAAGTTTATGTTTTGTAGAATAAACTAGGGACAAAACTGAATGTAAGTGTTTTACAAGTTTTGAATGAGATGAAATAATGTCCCCCAAAAATAGCTTTCGTTATTTATGATAGCTTGTTTACTTTTCCGTTCACATCAAAGACCAACAAATGAAAATCAGGGATTATTGGATAGCTGTTTCATCTAAATACAAGATTCATCAGTAGTGAGCCGACTGTGACAAAAACGATCTCAACAAAAAAAGAATAAATTTCGTATTTTTATGACAGTATGTGTTACATAATGAACGAATACCATACTCAGTGATAGCCATTCATGCTATCAACCAAACTCGACAATCTTCATAATTCTATACTGATGATTATCATGTGCTCACTAGTGACTAACATTTGCACACTAATGTCATTGGAAGAAGGTTGTGCAATATCATGAATAGTTTAACGATTGAAATAAGTTATATCGTTTGGTGGGTCCGTAACCTTGAGGTCAAGCCATCGTTATGGATTTTGAAAGTTCAAAGTTTTACCTTCGACTTTTCTGCTGTATCATATGACTGAGGGATCCCATATTCAGATGACCCAGGTATTCATTGTGTCCTGGTTTTCAACGATTGTCCAGTAAACGTTGATATTCAATGTAAACCATGAAATGTACCTTTCATCATATTTAAATGATTCATTCTTTTTCAACATTCCCAGTTAAGTATACTGAAATTAAAATCAGTTGTTTATCACTATTGATGTAGACCTCACACAAACGTTTATATAGATGCATTTTAGGGGATCATCATTCATTTCTACAATATAGCTTATATTGAAAAGCTTATTCATCATGTTACCTTATATAAATAAATCCATTTGTCTTCCATACCCACGGTACATACACCGTAAAGTATGTTGTCATGTCAAACCAATTAGAGCTTTTTCATGATAAACATTAACATATGTTTATATTCTTTGGATATGTGTAGAGTTTTAAAACGTATTTTACAAGCGCAGAAGTTTAATCATCAAACAGGCTGATTACTTCAAGTGATTAAGTTTTTTAGTAGCATCTCTATACAACCGTCTGCCAGTGTTTATTAGATTAAATTCAAGACAGTTCCTTCAATATTTTTATCGCTAAGCGAAAGGACACTAAACAATGAGTCATCATTTGTAAATGAGTATTTAAAATTATACTACTTATAAGTAGTCAAAGTGATTATATAGACATTCTACGATCTGATTAAAAATCAGTTGTTTGAATACATACATGTGTTGTTCTAATTCTAGGATCCTTAAGGATTACTGTTATATCTAGAACTTTAATTCTTGCTATGCCGTGTACTACTAGATTGATTGAATGATCGAACCCCCGCAACGTTGCAAGAGAGAAGACTAGTAAGTAGGAATTTTATTTCCCAAAACAGTGTCAAAATATAGTACAAAAATCTCATGTATTTAAAGTTTTTTGGCTGAAAATAAATCATCATTTCGAACAACCAATAGACATATAGGGGGTCATTCTTATCCATCCAATAGGGAAGCTACACGTCGAAATTTTAGAATGTTCCCCTAGTGATGATTGGATGGAATGTCTTCGGCTCTTTCTGGGCTTCTTAGAGTTTACCAAACGAGCCATCCTTACAATTACTTTAAATGTCTGATAGCAGAGAAGTAAACATTGTCATGTTTGTCTTGTTCTTAGTAAGCATAAAATTTTGTCCATAAAATCCTGATATGATCACAAGTGTAAATGATTCAGCGTTGGGTTCAAATACGTGAATGTTAGGTTAAGTATTACGAAACATAAGTTTAGTGAATATTGTATGATAAACAGCAAATAACTGTACAATTAATACACCTCCATTAAAATCAGTGTTTAAGTAATTTGGAAAATTGATTTTACAATGTACATTATTTATTTAGCTTCCTGTCTATATAATCTCCAGGTGAAGGTATTCGGTAGGAAACCATGGAAGTTAATTGCTTGTTAGTTGAAATTCATCCGCAGGTAATACGTTAAACCCTAAAGGGACTATTGCCTCCTTGTGAATTCAAACCCAGGTCAACTAGTTTCACAATCTGAAGAATTTCCAATGAGTTATTTGAGCCACAATTAATGCTCTTTGAGATTGAAATATATACACTGACCGATCATTGAATAGTGACTAATGTCATATTTGCCTAGTCCTCCATGCTGATAAAATTCTTTCAATGTAGATGAGACATGAGCAAGTTTATAAATTAACCTTTTGATTTCTCTTAACTAATTTGAACTTATTCTAACAAAAGAGCTGGTACTCAAAGATTATAATTCATTCCATTTAAGATGATGGAAACTCTCGAACTACACTATTCAATTCAGTATTATCTTACGAATCCTTATTCTCGAACCACAAAGTATTATACATTATCTTGAAAACAGTAAGCCTACACGACTCAGGCTATTTGGCTTCAATTAAAAAAAGGCCATATTGTTTTGCGAAAATCCATTCAGTCAGCCATACGTAACGTAAAACCTGGCATATGTGTACATTCATTCAAATTATATCCCATTAACATGGCGGAATTAATTTTTTTAAAACCAATCCGAAAATAGTAGATATAAAAACAGTATTATTGGTAATCGATAAGATTAGACACTGAAGATTGATATGTTTTGATACTATTACGAGTTCACCTCACTTCGTAAACGGGAAGAAAGTCAAAGAAACATTGACACGATAGCCTATTCTAATCCGTTGTCCTCTGTCCTGTTAACTAGATCAACAAGTCTTGATGAGGCGTAGAAGAATGTATTCTACAAGCATCTAGAAAATACAAGATCACTAAGCAAACAAATCAACCTTATTTGTACAATGATAGAAACGCCCTTGAAAGAGCCTCAAAATAGTGTACTAAAAAAATTCATTAACCAATGACAGTCAAGGAATTCCGAGTGAGAAATGTAAGCTGTGTGTGAACTAAGCGTCTCTTGGAGCGAAAACAAAAAATTCAAATTCTCAAAATAAAATTACAAAATTAGGATCTTTTCCAAATGAGTTCTGGGGATCTACGTTCTCAACAAAGATATGATTTCAGAAGATATAAATTAGTGAAATAATAAAAAAAACTAGCCAGTAATTCAGAAAGTTGAGATCTAAAGGAAGACAAAGAGCAGATGTATCTGATCCATTGCAGACATTCTTAGATATACTATTGAAATTAAGAACTTTTAAAATACTATAAAAAGCCTATATTTTCTGTACATAAACGAACCTTTAGAATAAAGTGCTCCTCGTATATTTTACGCTTTTTCTTTCGTTTTCAAGTCACTGTGTAGTTCTAGTTTGGAGGTTACGAAATTAGCTTAGGATAGAATATAGCGTTCAACCAACAAGACGTATCAGTGAGGACATGCATTCCCATGGTAGCCGGTGACCAACAATTGATTCATACGCCATTTGTTCCCCAGGATATTGGAGCCAGTCCATGTGCACCATTGGTTTGGAATCAGTGTTATCCAACTCCCCTAGATCGACCCTCCGTGTCCACTAACCCAGGTAAAGCATCGGACATTCGCTTTTCGTTTTCTCAATTTCGTAAACAACACTCGTGATGCGAGAAGGCAGTGAGTCGGACTTCCCTGACAGAGGCTATATACACGTTGCCATGTGAGAGCGTTTCGAGAGCGAGAGCAGATTCTTCCTACTCTCGGCCGTACCAAGGCATTTGGGGGCAACAAATGGGGGCCTAGCTAAGATCTAATAATATTACTCTTTCATTACCCAAAACCAAAATAGGATAAAGTAGAATTCTAACCTTTTTATTCTAATGGTATGTGTTATGTAGTAGCGAAGACATAAGTACGGGTAACTTGCAGGACCTACCATTGGACTATCATTCTTATTGTATAACTATTCGGTAACTAGATTATCTATATCTATATTCATCTTATTGTAAGCTTCATTTTAACCTATTGAATATTACTATATGATGTACTGTCCCTATGTTATGCTCAGTTTTATTGATTATTGTCTCCCACACTTACAGCCTCATTTGGCCTGGTTTTGTACAAATATTATTTTCTATTTTATGGTATGATGTTGCCTGTCTGTCTGATATATAAACAAAGTATGCTTAAAATAAACGATTCGTATTGCCGAAGCTGCTATTGGTGTTTTGGACTCAAGTGGACGGGTTAGGCGGATAAGGACCAATAAGGACGCTAGATTACTCATACTAATCGAACGTCATTGTCACAGTGTGAAGGTCATAGAAGTCGTATTCTATTGGTGGATAATTTACGCGAATTACGTCCTTGTTAAATTCTTAAGGTCATAACAAATCAGCGACGACCTTGATCAAGTCATAACAATTGGTTACCACCTAGGTCAAAAACATAACAAATTGGCGTTGGCTAGGTCAAGTCATAACAGTATGATAGTTGAACACATATAGAAACCATTAGAACCATTTCGTTCCATCAAAATAAAAAAAAACACTAAATAAACAAATAATAATAAAAAGATATAGACTGAATTACTAAAATATGTTTTTTTTATTATTTTGTCTTGAGTTTATTTCAAAATTAACACACACACAAACACGCATGCGCGCACGCACACACACACACAAGCATACATTCATAAAATAAGAAAAGCTAAATAATTTTATAATCAAATGAACAATAAAGTACAAAACATCAATATCCGACTCCTTTTGGTTAAAAAGAAAACAACGAATAGAAAAACTTTACTATTTATTAGAATTTTTTTTAAAAAAAAAAAAATTATCTACAATTAAATGATTTTTTGATTAGAATTTTATTCTTTAATCTGGATCATGTAGATCATTCACCATTTAAGTAATAAATCATCTCAGAATTACTATGGTAACAATTATAATTTAAAGGGACTATTGTTTGTTTCTTCTTTTACTTCATCTTATTTTTATTCATAATGTGAGAATTTTTTAATAATATAAATTAATTCTAGAATATCATCTTTACTACCAAGAAATATTGGTGCACGATCATGTATATTAATTGGTTGAATATCTAATATAGATAATTTACCATTTGTAGCTAAACCACCAGCTTGTTCTATAATTAATGCCATTGGATTACATTCATATAATAATCTTAACTATTAGGATAAATATATATAAGAGAGAGAGAGAGAGAGAAAAAAAAAAGATATATATCATTAGTTAAAATGAAACTTTATAGTTAAAAAATCAAGAATCGATTGAAACTAGATCATCATGGAAAACCTGGAAGCATTGTTTGATGGCCGTTTCGTCATATTGTGGGATTCCTCAGCAGTATGCATATGCTCACTAGTCACTGGCTTTAAGAGATATTTCCTGGAGTTCCAGTGTGAAGCAGTAACCAATGGATTTACACCAGGTCTATTGTGAGATATCAACTCACTGAAGATGATGGTGGATATGACGCTCAATTTCGTGGATTAGTTGAAGTTAGACATTAACACCGTTGGTTGCCAGCTTAGTAGTCTAGACGTCAGTCGCTCGCACGCGAGACTGATAGATCCTGGGTTCGAATCTCGCCAGGCGGGATCGTGGATGCGCACTGCCACTGATTAGTCCCACCATAGGACGAAACAGCCGTCCAGTGCCTCCAGGTTTTTTATGATGTTCTAGCTTCAATTGACTCATGATTTCAACTATTGACTAGACTACTACTATTAGACTACTATAGAAAACTTGGAAGCATTGAACTGGTATTTCGTGCTAGAATGAGACTCATAATAAGCAACTTTGCAATTGTATACAAAATCTTAACTTTCAAATCACTGAGCTAGGATCACGATATTGACTGAATATCATAGATTGTCTTCAGTGGTTAACTTCTACACACATGACACGATTGACCTTTACTAGTCAAAAATTTCTACGACAACTTCAGCAGTTGCATCTTGAAGCTAGTCACCGGTAAGCATATGATTATCATTAAAAGGAGATTTTTAGTGATTTTCTAATGTTACTGAGCTGTCTAGCGCTTTCAAATTTTCAACAGCTGTCTAACTTTGATTAGTATGTAATTTCACTAAAAAATTTTCATTTATATATTGCTTAACTGGAGAGTATATAGTAAATAAGCTATTGTTTGTCCATTTTTTTTTCTTAATATGAATAAAGTCCTAGAGATTAACATAAAATGTCAGTGTAAGTGCAAAGATTTTATTTCATCTCTGTGAACTTGTATTTATCATGCAGCTAAGATGAGATGTTCACTACTCCATCTCAAAGGGCTAGTATACTTTTACAGCAGCCATCTCTCAGTAGTAAATTATACTACTGATATATGACCTCGAAAGATTGAAGACATTTTTTCAAACTATTTCTTCTATGAATTCACTTAGTATTGTTTGTTTGAATTCCAGAATGAATATCAACTCTGAGATGCAGGTACATACAGCTGACGAGTCGTAAACAGGACGAAGTGGAGCACGTCCTTGATTCCAGTTCTAGCCACTATCCATCTCTGCCTTGACCTCATTGGCAGCCTGTTTAAACATCTGGGCTACCTGTTCCTGTCATCTAGATATTTCAAACAGTTATCTGATTTCGTTTGTTTTAATACATCATTATGCCTATTAATCGCACAACCTATTCAGGTGCGTTTCTGAAAAGCGTAAGACCTTTCGCTGTAAAGGTTACAGAAGGCTTAATCAGAGATATCGTGGTTTCTGGCAATATGCAGCGACAAGAATGTACATTATCCAGATGTCGATTGACTGGGCTGCTAAGTTCTAACTGGCGATCACTCAATATTTATCGTCAGGAAGGACGTAGAAGTAAGAAACGGAAACTTGTTGAAGTAGTTTGTGCTGAGAATTCTATATTGTACCAAAAATATAATATTGAATAAAGCTAATAATAATAAATAATAATAGTGCTTGTAAATTAAGGCTATATCGAGGCAAAACGCACAGTATGCACATATGCCAATTAGAGACTGACCAGTTGCAGTCCTAACAAATCGATGGGAAGATTCAAACAAACAATATTAAGTGGATTTAAACTTCACCCCATTGCACAAGCAAGTGGCTATCACGACTCAGTAGCTGAATGGATAACGCGATGGCATTTGAAGCGAAAGGTACTGGGTTCTAGTCCCAGTGTGAACATCAACTCTCAGATGCAGGTACATCCAGCTGACTCGTCCCAAATAGGACGAAACGAGCGTCTTGGATTCCATTGCTAGCCATTATTCATCTTTGCTTCATATTTCTTCTATGTTTACAACGCAAACCATCATTTGTACTATAATACTTCAATCAATTTGCAACTTAATAAATAGAATTCGATCAATATTAAGACCTTTGGTCTTGTATGTGAACTTTTAACCTCCAGATCACTAAGTTGGCATCCAACAGTGTTAATATGTGACTTTAATTAATCCACAACATTGCGTAACTATCTTCCATTGTTGTCGGTGGGTAACTTTTTCACACCCGATACAGTTAAACTCTACCAGTCACAGCTTCTTATTAGAGCTCCGAAAACTCGGTCTCAAAGCTAGTCACAAGTCGGAACATGACAATTGTCAGCATGGGGTTATGAAGATCGTTGAATTTAATTTATAATTAGTAACCTTAGCTAGATTCATGTTGTTTATAAAATCTACCTTATGATCTTGTTCAGTTAATAAGTAGATTAATTATAGTAACAAATAGTTTATCTTCAGATTTTTGGTAGTTGTAAGTTTCTATATTTTTGATGCAGTAACCATTTTTTTAGATCTTGGTGATACACTAAACACATAGTAACAACAGAAAAAAATATTGGAAAACCATGTTAATCTTGGATCATTAGTGTTCGATCGTATCTATTCACTTACACCGTGAACTCGAATACTGTAAGAGATGTGAATGCAGTCATCGATCCCCAGTTGTCTACACCATGGAAGGATACTTCTTCGTGAGGTGCTTAAAAAAAAAGATTAAGAGTGATCCTGACAAACTGAGAACGTGACTACAGAGACCAAGGGATATAAGTGGCCTTTTGGTGAGTAGTTTTTGACGTGTCAGATTTGCATAATTAAGGCCTTACCGCCAGCAACAGAAATCTATGGAGTAATGGGAAGTGTGTTATTTTTAGGATTAACCTTTTCTGACCACTTTCTTTCGTCATAGGAAGGCAGAATCCCTGAAAGTACTCTGTGTTTAGTTGAAACGTACTCTCGTTACTTTCTGATACAGTCATCAGTACGACTTCACCCTAAGATTTGAAGTTACTGCTTTTAGTCGCCAACAAAGATATCTGCAGTGGTAGGACCTAAAGTAACGAGTGTTCTAGCCAATATAACACGACTAGGTCATCACAATATCCAATTTCAACCACCATATCAAGGTAGGAGCTATGACCAGGGCTCACTTACTCTTTTCTATAACATGTAGTATTCCATAACAACACACATGTTTTCTCATGTACAATATTATCTACCATATGGAATAAACACAATGACAGATAAGTAAACAATCATTTACCTTCCCTTTAGGAGATTGTTTTGTACCTGGATAAAGGAAAATTCCACCATAAAGTAATGTACGATGAACATCAGCAACCATAGATCCACAATAACGTGCACTATAAGGTTTACCTGACTATTACGAGAGAGAAAAATAAAATCATGAAAACAATCAACAATTTTAGGATGAATAAAAAAAGAAAACTGATTTAGTTGATAGAAAGACACAAATGAAAAGTCAATAAATATTTAGTGCATAGACAAACATACTGCTATGATACTTAGGTGCTAAAGTTAGTCACTAGGGTACCTTAGTGTTATGTCCTGACAAGAATAATGGATGGTAATTTTTGGGATCCATTTATGGACCAATACTACGCATATATTTTTATTGTATAATTGGTAACTAAATAAACCATTCATATTCGTGTCCCCTCTCATTATAAGCTTTATTTTGACCCATAGACTGTTGCTATACGATTTGTCGTTCTTGAGTTATCCTCAGTTTATTAATTACTGTTCCTCACATTCACAGCCACATTTGGTTGAATCTTGTACAAATGTTGTTTTCTATTTTATGCTACGATGTGGTCTGTTTGATTAGTATATAAACTCAGTATGTTTGAGAATAATGATTCATATTGCAGAGGCTATTATTGTAGTTCTGGACTTAACTGGCTGGGCTAGACAGAAAGCAGAACCAACAATGATTCTAGACTGCTCGTATGGGTTTCTTGTGTCATTGATCCGATCGATAATTCACTGCTCTCTAATTGGCGGGAATCATCGCTTTATACATTAACAAGGCACGCAGGCCACAATATATAACACTTAGATTTGAGTTTATTGCTTGTTAGTACTTGTCAACAAAAGCTCCCGGTGGGATTTCAACCTATAACATTCAATTTCATAGTCTGAGACATTCCTATTGCATTATTCAAGTCGCTAAAGTAAATATATAGCTTTTTAGGGTGAAACTAAGGCATATACATATAATCTCCTATATAGGTGTAATATTCAAATACATAGAGAAATTACTTCAGGAAATTTCTTCATTCGAATATATTCTGTAATAGCACTATCCCAAAGACTTGCATAACCTTCATTAATTGAATAAATATTACCACGTGGTTTAATAGAAATATTAGGATGTGTTAGTATGAATTCACCAATTGCCTGAAGAACAAAAAATATATTAGAGAAAGATAAAATCATATATAGTTAGGATCATGAGTCAATTGAAGCTAGACCACCATGAAAAACCTGGAAGCACTGCTTGACGGCCGTTTTATCCTATCGTGGGACTCCTCAGTGACAATGCGCATCCACGATCCCGCCTCGCGGAATTCGTACCCAGGACCTACCAGAGAACTTAACCGATAGATCACTGAACCGGTATCCAGCGGTGTTAATGTGTAACCTAAACCAATCCACGAAATTGCGAGACCAACTTCCATTGTACTGAGGTAGATACCCGTCTCTACCTGACATGGATTAGCTACACTGGCCACAACTTCTCACTAGAACTCCATATGATCATTATCACAAGGGGGTTTTGTGGAGATTTTAATAGTTTTATATAATTAAGATCACCACAAAACCCCCTTGTGATTAAGATAAAATCAGTTTTTACAATTAATATAAATATTAAAGAATATTATATAAATGTGTCGCTCAATTTAGTGGATTGGTTTAAGTTACACATTAACACCGTTGAATGCCGATGGGCTCAGTGGTCTAGTAGTTAAGCGCTCGCGAGCAAGACTGATAGGTTCTGGGTTCGAATCTCGTGAGGTGGGATCGTGGACGCACACTGCTGAGGAATCGCATAATATTAGGACGAAACGGCCGTTCAAAAACAAGAGTTCCAGTTTCTTGATGTTGATATTCTATTAGACAAAGAGTTCTAAAAACAAATATACTATGTAAACTATATACAATGTATACATTTCTTTGGACTAACATAATCACTTTATTCCAATAAAAGAGGATAAATGTATCATCATTTACAAGATAAATTATATCAATTATAAGAAATACTATATTCGATTAAGTGGATGACCTCTTTCTCTATTCATCAATGAACAAAGATGATCAGTGAAACGATATGATATACTATCACTGGTAACAATGGATAAAGATAGTCATGGATATGAATTCCTTTGGAGAAACATCAATATTTTGGATTATATGAAATCCACGAATACTAGAAGATGACTAAAAGAACGTCATTCAGGTCACTTAGTAATTAACGGACACATTGAGATAGACCCAATCTATAGGCCTATATAGAAAAGAACAGTTGATCATAGGGACAGAGGTCAACCAATAAAAACAATCAACGGGAATGCAAATATAAACGAAGATAACAAAACCTACGACAACAGCTACTGACAAACAAAGACATTCGGACGAATAGGTAAAACACTTGTCGGATAACTTAAAAGCGGATTTTTATATAGAACAGGCGCTGGAGATGTTTTTCCAAAATGAGAATAAAAGCTGAACAATTAAATCATCTAGAACTCCAGGAAATACCTCATGGTGTCAGTCACTAGTGAGCATATGATCATTATTACAAGGGGGTTTTGTGGGGATTTTTGTAATTTTTATATAGTTGAGATCACTAGTCAATTGAAATTAGACCACCATGGAAAACGTGGAAGCACTGGACGTCCGTTTCGTCCTACTGTAGGACTCCTCAGCAGTGCGAATCTAGTCCAGTGCTTTCAGGTTTTCCATAATGATCTAGCTTCAATTGACTCATGATTTCAACTATATAAATAAATCTATCAATATCCAATAAATAAAACGTTTAAAATTGATAAACCTGGCATAATTGAAGAGTAGAGGCAACGATTTGTTAATTTCTCAAAGTAAATTAAATGCTCATGATAGTTAAAATCAAAGATCGAACTCCATGGATATTTGTTATATCCTCGCGAAAACATGAGTAAGGGTAATTTCTAACACATATTAATGGACGATTATTCTATATATGTTCTTATAGTTTAACTATTGAGTAATTAGATTGTGTATATCTATATTCATCTTATTGTAAGCTTCATTTTGACCTATGGATTATTACCATACGATTTACTGTTCCAGAATTATGTTCAGTTTATTGATTACTGTATCCCACGTTCACAACCACATTTGGCTTGATCTTGTACAAATATTATTTTCTATTTTATGGTGTGATGTGGTCTGTCTGTCTGGTATATAAACCGAGTATGCTTGAAATAAACGATTCATACTGCCGAGACTGCTATTGGTGTTCTGGACTCAATTGGAAGGGCTAGGAGGACAAAGGACCAATAAAGACGCTAGACTGCTTATACTGGTCGAAAGTCATTGATATGGCACAATGTTAAGATTGAAGAAATTCGTATTTCGATTGGTGAATAAATCACGTGATAACAATATTCATCCGTATAACAACGAACTATTATCCAACTCTATTCCTATTCCTTATTCCTGATATGAAATCCTAACTCTAAGCCTTTATAATATAAATCGTTTATTGATATCAACTTTATTTTGATTGGTTAAAAATTGGCTACAGTGATTTGAAAAGTTGTTGAATGCCATCAGTAAAATACACGATTCTCATCACAGTAATAATAGTAATATTAATAATAATAATAAATGGAATAGTTCAAACTTACTGGATCCAATGTAAAACCATGTACACCAGTTCCAACAGTTAAAACTAACATAGTAGCACTACCATATAGAGCATAGCCAGCGGCAACAGCTTGACGACCAGGTTGTAATGCTATTTTATGAGATACTACACCTTTTTCATTATTTAATGGTGAACGTAGAATAAGGAATATTGAACCAATTGAACCCAAACAATCAATATTTGATGAACCATCCAATGGATCAAAACAAACGATGTATTTTCCCTATAAAAACAACAAATAAAAGCTGATATCTGGTAGGAAATAACATAGTGAAAGGTATTATTTCACACGAATTGACGATTAGGTTAATGTAAATCACAAAGAGGTACCCAAAGTTTGTGCTAATGATGTCGTTCAGAAGGACGATGAAAGCTCCATGACCAAACCATCCAGCTCAGAGAACAAACCTACATCAAAATCACCCACCTGAGCTACAAATCTCCACCATCACAAAGAGGTACATTTTAAAAAGGTCTACGAAAACCTAGAGAGTTAAGGGGGTAATTGATCAAAATATAAAGAATGAACTTCAAGCAGTAAAAATTTGAGAAACATGACTAGAATAGTTCATTCAGTGGTAATGTCTTAGATAGTGAAGATGAAAGATGCGAGTTCAGATTCTACAGGAACTAACAGTTGCTACAAAACTGCAGGTATGATTTGTTGACGAATGCTAAATAGGAAAAAATTCAAACCTAGAGTATTCTCCCGACTGCCTCCAACGACCTAACACCATATACATTCTAACTCTCACATTTATCAAACACTCTTCGTATAATTATCTGGTCTCAATAATCCTACAACAGTTGAACAAGGAAAATGCAGTCTTACCAATTGAACGATATTTGATTGCTATGAGTTCATATCTCAGTAATATTAAATCTACGCTCCCTCCATCCACTTTAGTTTGAAATGTTGATGTGTCTTCACTTAGACTCCTGAAGCCAAAGCTGAACTTATTTTCCAGGAAGAAAGGTAATAAACCGAATGAATCAGACATGTAAGTTAAAGGTCATATGATAAGTGGAAGGTGTTGATAGGTTCACGTTAATGGACAAGATTTGGCTTAATTATCTGAGATAAACGAATAAGATTTACGAAATGATACATTTGTGTATAAGTGTACAAGAACCAATCAACATCGAGGTGTACAGGACAAGTTGTGAACCACATGTGGAGAAATTCAAACACTTCACTTCTACCCGAAGTTTGTGCTGATGATGTCGTTCAGAAGGACAATAAAAACTTCACAACCAAATCATTCAGCTCAGAGAACAAAACTCCATCGAAATCATCCACCTGAGCTACAAATCTTCTCCACCATCTCGTATTCAGATAACATTAACATATGTATTAATATCAGATCATCTAATATACAGACAACTGCCACATGTCTAACATGTACAATTCGAAACTTAATATAAGAACTCTGTCTTAACTAATACTGAGTTATTAGCTATCATAATTTATGGATGACGCGAAGTTGACTCGGAGAAAGTTCACTAACCTCCTAGGGTTTAAAGAGGGTTATAAATTAGTGTGAGGAATTAGGATATGAATTTAAAGTTAGGGTTTCCATCAAGAACTGACACCATCTATAATGACAAAATGCTACTTAGCCATACGGAGAAATGAATTTTGTGCCAAAATCCAAAGCCTACTATTATAAATCTGATTGGCTTACCCATTATACTACTAATTAAACTTATATAATAAGATATCTCAAGTTCAACAAATATGTAAACAATTTTATGATTTAAATACACTTGGTGTTGTTTGCTTATATCTTCCCATTGATGTTTATGACTGGAACTGGTCAGTCTCTAATTGGCATATGTACATACTGTGTGTATTGCCTTGATATAGCCTAAATTCACAAGCATTATAAGCAAAGATAGATAGTAGCTAGTAGTGGAATCCAGTTTGACGCGCGCCATTTCGTCCTATTTGAGACTCGTCAGCTGGATGTACCTGCATCACAGAGTTGATATTCACTCTGGGACTCAAACCTAGTACCTTTCGCTTCAAACGCCATCGCATTATCTATTCAGCTACTGAGTCCAATAAGGTATATTTGAATGAAATTCAAATTATTTGATTGAATATATCTCTACCATTGTTTTAAAATGAACGTGTTTATTATTAAAAATAGGATAGAGCTGTATTTGTAAAACAACTAAAGGGTTGTAATTAATGAATACAATCACAGGTCACATCATGTTTCTAGGTTTTGTTTGATTATTATCTAATGATCAATTATAGATCTATATGGTCAGCTTTGATCTGTACCGGTTTATTTAAGGTTTAGTGATAAAACAGTTAATATTTTATTCATGCAACTGTCAGATATGATATGATATGACAGTATCATATCATAACAGTATCATGTCGTAAATTGGCAAAAGCTCGTTTGGCTGTCACACCTCTGTACAGTCAGCAGTACGACTTCGCCTTCGGACCTTGGGTTTGCTGCTTTTAGTCTTACCGCTCTTCAACCGACCTGTCTGGCATGGTAGGACCTTGAGGAACGATTGTTCCAGCCAGTATAGTTCGATTGGTTCATCACGATAGGCAAGCCCGACCACCACGTCAAGGTAGCAGCAACAGTCGTGATTTGGAGGTGCCGGGTTTCGAACCCGGAACGTGGCTCAAAATCGTTTGCAATGGCGAAGGTGCATCCACTTTTTGTGTTCTACCAAATCCTAATCTTCTGAGTTCCTCATGTTCCTTTCCTTTTTCTCCTTCCAAATTTATTTCACTGGATTATACTCCTTCAATAACATCTTCAAACCCTAATCTTTCGGATTACTGCTTATACTCTTACTACCTATACCACTATGGGATTTGAATCGACAACCACATTTCTGTGGTAATGTGCTATGGCAACTCGAACTGATGTACGTACGTACAAAGTTCTACATTGTTACTGACTGACTGACTGAATAATTGATAAAATAGTGACCTATTTAGTTGGATTTCATTCTGATCATAAATTATCATTCATGTGATATAAATGAATTGATAGAGCTTATGATACGTGACAACTTAATAGGTGAAATGATCTAAAACCAATACAATATAAATGATTGGGAAGTTTCAAATAATGATGTTCATCAATTTCAGCAATAAGATTATATATACGTTTTGAAACGTGACAAATAAACTACTTAGTCGTTAATTTAAGTTTCTAATTACTACAAAGTATGGATAACCTTTACTAGTGATTGTCTTATTGATTACGAAAACAAATCAAACTAATGTACACGTTAGCAATCAAGTAAATAACTAGGATCATGATGGAGTTTTGTTCTCTGAGCTGAATGATTTGGTCATGGAGCTTTCATTGTCCTTCTGGACGACATCATCAGCAAAAACTTTGGGTAGAAGTGAAGTGTTTGAATTTCTTCACATGTGATTTACAGCTTGTCCTGTACACCTCGATGTTGATTGGTTCTTATTGATCTTAAATCTGTCATTGTTTATTTCTTTGTTTTTGGTTGTATCCCCTATGGGTTTGATTTTTGTTCTTACGTTTCTGCATAATTTTCCTGATTGGTTGATAAATTGGATTGATTTCAATGTGCTTGTTTATTGCTGATTGACCTGATTGTCAAGGTTCTAATAATTCTCTGGTATTTTTGGAATTGCCTCTGTCCAAAATTTCCACATTTTTCAAGTCGAACGTGTGTCCGTAATTATTTATTTATTATTTATTTAGACACATAAATATCGGTACAAAGGGGCACCAGATATATAGGCGCCACGCAAATCTCATTTGATTTGTGTGAGGGCTGTGATACTTCCCAGGTGCCCAAACTGAAGCAGGTGGTTATCTTAGGGGGCCATACCCAAGTTTTTGACCTAAAGGTCTAATCCACATGGAAGTGGAGCATCGTGAGGAGATGCGGTCACATGGTAGCCAATGACCAACGACTGATTCATACACACCCCAAGGATGCTGGAGCTCATGTGCACCATTGGTTTGGAATCAGGGTTTTCCAACTACCTTAGGTGGACTTTCCTTGTCCACCAACCCGGTTAAAGTGCCGGACACTCGCTTTTCGTTCTCTCAATTTTGTAAACAACACCCGTGATGCGAGAAGGCAGTGATTAGGACTTCCCTGGAAGAGGCTATAAACGCGTGGCCATATGAGAGCATTTGGAGAGGGAGAGCGGACTCTCCCCACTCTCAGCCGTACCAGGGCATTTGGGGGCAGGGCTCCTGCACCGGGAGAGGTTACATTATAAAGTGTTTGGAGATTTCAAATATATCCAAAGAGGATTGCAAAATGACCGAGAGGTTAGAGAAGATAGAGGACGTTGAAAATAATTTACAAATCAAAAGAGATCATTGTCCATTTCACAGATATGAAGACATGAAAAACGCTCAAGTTATTAAAACAAATGAGTAATAACTGTGAAAAATTGTTAAGAGATAACAATAATAATCGCTTCTAAAATGAAATGAAAAAGAAACGAGAAAGGCTGTTAGAATTACAGAAGACTAAGAGATTGAATGTGGTGCTTTTTACCCGCAGAGTTTAGGCTTGAATTGGTGAAGTGCTAGAACCTTAGCATTGTACACGTTTTTGTTTCAACCTCCATTTGATTTAGTGTAGATTAGTTAAAAAGATGATGCCGGTGGGGTAATATGCTCAGAGTTGATGAGATCCTTCTTCCTTATCAATCAATTGATTGCTTTATTAAATAATATCATCGGAAAGAAAATTCTCCTTACTAGATTACTTCCCTTCTCTAAAAAAAAACAAGGCATATTTTCTAGAACTGACTGGCACGATGTGGTCTGTCAGTATGTTTGAAATATAATGATTCGTACCTCAGAGGCTATTATCGGTGCTCTGGACTTAACTAACTGGGCTTGACAGAAGCAGAACCGGCAAGTACTCTAGACTGCTCGTACGGTTTCCGTGTGTCATTTGGTCTGCTCTATAATTCGCTGCTCTCTGATTGGTAGTCTTATCACGTTATACATTAACAGGGCTTCCACTGGGCCACAAGATACAACACTAACATCAATAACCCAAAATAATGAATAATAACTAACTTGTTTATCTAATTCCACTTCTATAGCTTCATCATTTTCTTCTGAGATAAGTAAACAAGTTGAATAAGATGATTTTAACATATTGATAAATAAATCATTTGATAGAACATCTAATTTTTTCACATCTTCACCTTGAATATTACTGGAACCAGTTAAACCGTAACTGAATAATAAGAAGAAGAAGGAAAAATTTAGGGAGAAAACAATGAATGTATATATCTACGTCGTTGTGATCGATTCTGAGCCGTTTCACACTGAGTCTTCAACCATTGGTTATGATAGTCATCTGGACCCCAACCAATTATTTTGCATCTACCAACATAGCTCAGACAGGACATTAGTGACTTTATGGAATGATACTATGTTTTAGTTTGATCTTCCCTAACTTTGTTCATCCGTCTCCAACACTAGTCAGACGAGACAAAATTAGAAAGCAGCCACCATATAGTTGATGTAACTTGCCATACAATTGTTTGCAAACTTATGAATATACGTTGGTTTGGTCCAAAGCAGGGATTTATTTTTAACATACCCACAAATCGAAGAATGAATGGCTTTCTAAAGGAGCACACAAAACAATATACTGCCCAACACTAGGAAAATGAAACAATTTCTTGGAAATTCAGTTAATTTTAGGATATAAAAATGACCATTAATCAGATTAATGTCACCATATTATAAAATTGATTATTAACAAGTTAACCCTGAAGTTGGCCACTTCTTTCTGTATCTATCAATTCAACTGCTCCTGTGGGCAGATATTCTAGGAATTTGTATACTCGGGCTCGTGAGCACCTCCCAGTGTGGTTAAGCAAAGGTGTAGTCAAAACGGTTAACAGCTCTATTTTAGCTCCTTTTGGAGTACCTATCTGGAGTCTGATCATGCCCTGGTCTGCGCCAATCTCACCTTACTTTTCAGTGGCCGAAGGATTGACCACCACCAACGGATTGATATTAGTAAACTGGCTGCAACTTCTGTTGCAAGTAAGTATCGAGCGGAGCTAGCCTCTAAGCTAGCTACCACCCCACCGAAAAGTATAGATGGTTGCATCTTCACGACGCCATGAAAATGGCGAGTAAAGCCGCTTGCGGCTTCGCGAAACGTCCCGCTTACAAGCACTGGGTCTCTTCTGGCTCCCTACAACTGATGGAAGCCCGTCGGTCTACTCCGGGTGACCGTGAGTTTGACCACAAACGAAGGCTGTTACGTAATGAAATCGGGCAAAGCTTGCGTAAGGACCGGGAAGCCTGGTGGTCGGAGCGTGCTAATGAGATGGAAGCAGCAGCTGCATCTGGTAACTGCCGGAAGCTCTTCCAACTCATCCGAGCCACTGTCAGCAAGAAGTCTGGTGTGAGTGAAACAATCTACGAGGATGATGGGATGCTAATCACTAACATCTCCCGACGTCTTGGACGATGGGCGGAATTTTTCGAAGGGCAGTTCAACTGGCCTGCTGCTCCGGCAACATCAACCAGCTTATCCTGCCCCCCATGCCTGGTGACGACTGATCCACCAAACGAGGCGGAAGTCCGCAAGGAACTCCAACTCTTGAAGCGCTACAAATCACCTGGCCCAGATGACTTACCTCCGGCTCTTTTTAAAGATGGTGGCGACTTTCTGACTAAGGAATTGACTGTGTTGTTTGCAAAGGTTTGGGAGCAAGAAAGTGTTCCAACATCATGGAATGAGTCAATAGTCGTCCCTATCTTTAAAAAGGGTTCGCGTTGTTCCTGCAATAACTATCGGGGGATAAGTCTACCTCCGATTGCGTCCAAACTATTGGCTTCTATCATTCTTCGTAGGTTGTTTAAAACCCGAGAACGATTGACTCGCGAGGAGCAGGCTGGTTTTCGTTCTGGTCGAGGATGCATTGATCACATCTTCACCCTCCGCCAAATGTTAGAACACCGTCATACTTATCGCAGGCCATATCAGGGCGGCCTTCGATTCGTTGGATAGGACTGTTCTCTGGGATTGTCTATTGAAGAAGGGTGTGCCTGAGAAGTTCATTAACATCTTAAAGGCCCTGTATACGAACACCTCAGGCAGAGTGAGGGCATACAACCACCTTTCTCCCTTGTTCCATTCGAGCAGTGGGGTTAGACAGGGTTGCCCGATCTCACCATTCCTCTTCAACTTTGCCATCGACGACATCCTGGAAACAGCTCTGATGGATGTAAGTAATGGCGGTGTGGATTTGTTGCCTGGAGAACGACTTCTCGACCTTGAGTATGCGGATGATATTGTCTTACTGTGCGATAATGCCCAAGGCATGCAATCAGCACTTAATCAGTTGGCAATCAACGTCCGCAGGTACGGCATGTGCTTCGCACCGTCCAAGTGCAAAGTACTCCTACAAGACTGGCAGGATTCTAATCCTGTACTCACCCTGGATGGTGAGAAGATCGAAGTAGTTGAGAAGTTCGTGTATCTAGGTAGCTATATAAGTGGTGGTGGTGGCGTGAGTGATGAGATTGATGCACGTATAATGAAAGCCAGAGCGGCTTATGCCAATCTGGGCCATCTTTGGCGCCTTCGTGATGTTAGTCTGGCTGTAAAAGGTCGGATCTACAACGCGTCGGTGAGAGCAGTTTTGCTCTATTCTTGTGAAACCTGGCCTCTCCGAGTTGAGGATGTTAGACGTCTCTCTGTGTTCGATCATCGTTGTCTCCGAAGGATTGCTGACATTCAGTGGCAACACCATGTTAGTAATGCAGAGGTTCGGCATCGTGTGTTCGGGCACAGAGACGATAATTCGATTGGTGTCACCATCTTGAAACACCGACTTCGGTGGCTTGGACATGTTTTACGAATGTCGTCCCAGAGACTTCCACGTCGTGCATTATTTGCCGACCCTGGGACTGGTTGGAAAAAGCGGAGAGGAGGTCAGTGTATGATATGGTGTCGTGGCATGAAAGAGAGCTGCAAAGGGCTAGCTTCCGTTGGTTCTTCACGACTCCCTGGTTGGGGTCCGAGAGATAGTGCAACACAGTGGCTAGAGACGTTATCAGATATGGCTCAGAATAGAAGCCAGTGGCGATCCTGCTGCAACCTTCTTTTACTTTCTACATAAAGAATGGTTCTAACTTTCCTAACTGAAAGAGTCTTCTGGTTGTAAATTTCAGTCCGCCTTATCTTTTCATCCCTTCTCTTCCTACTTTCATTATTTTGTGTGGCGCATATGTACCTGGTGCCCTTTTGTACCAATATATATGTGTTTAAATAAATAAATAAATTTAGTTCAGACGGGACATAGAGCCAACATTGAGCAATCTTTCACAATAATATATCGTGTTAACAGCAGTCTACCTAATTCCGTCAGATTGAGAATCCTAAAGACGACTGAGGTGATTGCTATTCGGATCAAAAAGCCAGAGCTTTGCATCCAAAAAAAATATGTATAGCTGCTCCTTTTACCCTGGCCAACTTCAAGGTCAAGTTGTTGATAATCAATTCAGTTAATTCGTTGAAATTATGACATACTCAAAATACTGATGTTGTGAGTATCCTTTATTATGTATTTTGATAATCCTGTATCCAAAGTCAGTCAGTCAGCTACAACGTAGGACCAGGCACATATATGCATCGGTTCAAGTTGCCATACCTCGTTAGCACAACAAGATGAACACCGGATTCATAGTAGTTAATTTAGTGTTGGTAGTAGTATATAAATTATAGGTTGTATATAAGGATATAGTACAGGAAGGAAGAGAGATATGAAGCAATTTTAGTCTCAAGGTTTAAGGGAAGATAAAGGGTGTATACACCTACGCCATTGTGATCAATTCTGAGCCATGTCACACAGAGTCTCCAACCATTGGTTACGATAGTCACGCGGACCCCAACCAGGTAGTCTGCATCCGCCAACATGGCTCAGGCTAGAAGTTAGTGACTTCAAACACTGTATTCAAAAAAAGGCTATAATTTCAGATTATTTGGCTTAGATATGAAATATTTAAAAATGTATTTAAAAATGTATACCAAACGAATATTATCATTCCAATTTTTAGTACAATGAAATATTCATCCGTAAATGAAGTATTCAATAATAAATACCTAGAAAAATCAGTTTCCTTCGCTTTCTATTCTTTCTACTAAACAAAACTAGACTTATAAGTTGAAATTTTGCATAAAATCGACTTCTTTCTTAGTTAAAACTGTCAAATACCGAAGAGAATTATGAATGGTAACTTTTGAGAACTATTTATGGACCAATATGATACCGATACTTTTATCGTATAATTGTTAACTAACTAAACTATTCATATTCGCGTTCCTAATATTATAAACCTTATTTCGACCTATGAACTATTATTATACAATTTACCATTCTTGAGTTATGCCTTGTGTGTCAATTACCATCTCCCTTATTCACAGCCACATTTGGCTTAATCTTGTACAAATGTTATTTTCTAGTTTATGGTACGATATGGTATGCCTGTATTGTATATAAACCCAGTATCTTTGAAATAAGTGATTCATATATCGCAGACTCTGATATTGGTGTTCTGGACTTAATCGACTTCGCTAGGCAGAAAACAGGATCGGCAAGTACTCTGGACTGCTCTAACGAGTTTTATGTGTCATTCATCTGATCGATAACTCACTGTATTTTAATTACCGCTATCATCACGTTCAACATTAACAGGGCACGCAGGGCATAAAATAAAACAAAAACGTCACTCAGATGGTACATCTCTACTGAAGTGCTTTTTCAAAATATTTTGTGGGCAATCATTGAAACGCCAGTAAATTATTGGGCTACTAACTCTAAAAAACGTCAAATTTCCAAGAAAACATTGACTTCAGTAGCAAATATCCCATTGTATTAGAGATAACTTTCACATTTAGTATAATAGTACTTTTGTCCTAAATATTGCTATTCAGTTGATTCTGTTTATTTTTTACCCAAGTTGTCTACTGTAATCATTGCTCATAAGACTAAATGAATTAAGTGATTCGAAAATAAGTTCTCATGATGGATTACCGTCCTTCATACAGAAACTGTTCGAAATGACCCGAAGCACATAATTTATTTCACTGGCCATGTGTTTGTACAGATTCGTTTTAGATGATAAATTTATTATAGGAAAAGAAATATACCAGAGTAGGAATCATTCAGTTTTGTTATTATATACAGTGCTCCAATGGTCACAGAACCCAATTATTTTCAAAACCCTAGTCTTAATTTAGAAATGATATTTACCACAAAACAACCCAAAAGTAAACATATTTAATCAACGCTATGGTCAATTTATAAGCACTTAACAGTTTGACTGTGTGTAACGATAGTAAGCCAATGAAAAAAAATCATAAAACTGAGAAATTTTCCAAAATTCTTCTGTCATGATTCCAGAGCATTATCTTCACTGGTTCATACAAAGGAGGTGAACAAACCAAGACCAGTCAGTCTTCGGTGAACCACCAGTTACAGATTATAGACACAAACAACGAGAATATTTCTTAATATTTAACAGCAAAAATTTTAAACTTTGTTCTGATGTATTTCAGTTGTCAAGATAAGTATAGAGTTTCCGAATTTGTCCTTATAAGGACTATTATACTAGTCGATAAGACCTATGACCGACAAAATCCAAGATCTAATCCTCAGGTTTTTTTGATAATTTAATACCGTACTGTCCCTGGTAAAGAGTTAAATATGGCTGCAAACAAATACTGGGGAGAGTAATGTTTTTACAGTTGCTAATTAGTCTCAGTAAATAACTATTCAGAGCTACATGCAGTAATTTAGAACCAAATATTAAACAGTCCCATATATTCTGCAAACTGTCTTCATAAATATTACTGGTAGCCATCACTTATATTTTTGACACCGTGCAATTGCGAATTGAAAAGTGGTGACACTGTCCTCAGCGAATGTACCCACACATCAAATGTCTAATGGAGTGAGTTTCGCCCAAAATCTGCAGCTTCACACTAAATTGCAACCAGAAGTTTAATGAAGTCATTGTGAAGTGATAAACAAAATGTACAATCACCTAATTAAAGAACTTACAGGTTAATCATCCCTGCTTTACGAACAGCCATTGAAACAGCCTTGATAGCTGTTTGCAGGCCATTCATCAGCTGTGTCAGCTCACCTGTAGCAGACGGAAATTTTCTTTGTTCTTGTATAATGAAGCGAGTCAATGTTAAATAGTCAGTCTCAAGTCCCGAATCTGATGACATCGTAACGCACAAACCGAATATGTACTATGAAAGGGTTGCGTAATCGAAGTAGTAAAACAATTCCTTAAACTGACATCACATATAGTCCATGTTGTCTCCTCGAGATTAATAGTAGCATGAAATCTGTTGCCGATTTGAATGTACTAACAAAGTCTTGATAACGCATCTTTTGATGAATAATATCGATAATTCATATATCAGAAAAAATCCACATACTGAATAATCAGTTCCGAAGATTTCTTTACTGCGAGCTATTGATCTAAACTATGCAGAAGATCTGTTTCGCAACTTAATTTTGATAAGTACAAAATCTATTTGCAGTTGACTGATCACTAATTAGTGACCAATGTGGATTTTCTTTGTTGCTGCTTGCATATTATGGTCGAGTTTTACGGTTAGCGTCATCAGTCTTGAGGGGCTTGGCAAACGCAAAATGGATCACTACTCCATGATCAATCGAATATACGTATATCAGTCCAGCAAAATAAAAGTGCATCCTTATGTAAGATCATCTTTGTTGGTGGTCTATGTCGAAATGATTGAAGGGGCCTACTAGAGTTAGACGAGAATGGTGACGAACCAACTAACGCTTAAGTCACACCTCGCGACCAGCCTTTACATGGATTGAACCATTTACGCATCAAAGGATCATGGACGCTATGGAGACTGTACAACACAAAAGACGTTATCACAAGAATATATAAGTTAAGGTACAACCACAAAAGTACAGAAGTGAAAGAACAACCACTGCCGCATGGGTCAGTTCATGGCATATAATTGATTGATGCGCGTTGACTATCCTTGACGTCGACAGAGATCGATGATCTGTTCGATATTCAGTGAAATTTCACCGACCCTACACTTAGTAGACTGTTGATGACATTTCAGATTGGGAATTTGAGCTATGCAGTTTCTAATCCATCAAGAAAAATCAGTACTCTCGATATTATTAGTACCCCTAGCCAATGAGTATCATAGGCATACGTTATAATTCACCACTTGATGTTTCCGTGGATTTTAATTGCATCTTAGTATTTTTAAAATCGTTATAAATCAGCACTTACGTTAATTTACTTGCTAAAGCCTTCTTTTTTACCGTTAAAACTCCTGATAAAACTCTTTCAATAGCAAATTACTAGAATTAATGTACTCAGCGATTATATGATAGGCATTGGACAGTACTTCAGATAATAATAGTAAGTTTAGGGTTATATTCATCCGTTTACTATTGACATTTGTGACGTAACGTAGTCCAACAAGTTGAATGTGAAATACAGTGTCTTAAATCTTAAGTCTGTGAAAGAAATGTCATATGACGACTGCACTCTCAAGTTCAATGCTAATTCACTAAATGAACAACAAAGTGACCGAAAGCGCGTGGTATCATATAATCCGTGAAACTCTCAGATATACTTAACCAATTGATAGCCACAAAATCTTGAGACAGGTAAAAATGAGCCCAGAATGCACAGTTCAGTGGGTGAAAACATTATTGTTTTATCTACAGAAACTCTGACTTTCTAATAGTGTCTTAAAGCAGAAGGGAACAGCTATGTTCCTTCAGTTTCTACTGGTTATCAGATAGGTTAAAAATCCATGAATAAAAAGAACTTGTACTAAAGCGAATTCCAGTGGAAAGCCACCCTACTGGGTAATTAATTCTGATGAGAACATTTCAGTCTATGGGACGAATATTGAAATCGTTGTGAAAATAGTTAAAGGAAGCCTGTTTTTAAGTTATTTTTGTCACCGCACACATATTTCATTATTACATTTGATTTGTACAAACACTGTTACTGGCCACAAAGTTGTTGGTGAACAAAACATTTGATTTTGTTCTTGTCATTGTCATAGCAAGTACACTGATATAGTTATTCATCGTCATGCCTGAATCACTTATTTTTCATATATATCTTATATATAAGGAGAATGATGACATAGACGTTGACAACGGTTTTGTAAAGCTTCATTCTGGCTTGCCCTGGATACCTGGACTTACATTCACCACTGTTAATAAAACGTAATAGTTAAGACATCCGAGGAAGCAAGTTTGTATTCCATTGGCCAGCAAAATTATAATTCGTGAGCACAGAGAGTTATCGTTGATACTAGATCGAGAACTACCTAAAAGTTCTTCGTGGGTTTTCTAAATTGCCTATTCCTTGATCTTATTTCCTCAGTACTTACAACTTGCTAATAAACCTGTATACAAAAAAATTAATCAACAGGAGGAATATGTTTTCAGTAAACGGCATCATTACCATCAGTGAAACTGACGCTGTTCAAAGAGTTTGACCTGGAAGTTGTCTTTTCTCTGTTGTCCTATTTGAGTATGATAGAATCGCAAAAGCGGACTGTTAAACCGGCCGCACATAAAACAATAAAAAACCCATATGTGTACTTCTGGTAAACCAGTTTATGCGGTGCAATGTGGGCTATCCTCAGAAAAACTGGGTATCGTAAGAGTAGGATTCGAAAATAATAAACAGTTAAGCAACATCAGACATTCAGACAGTCAGTGAGCTTACTCGTTTCATATGGCACACAAGAATGATTCCAACTGATATTCGTCAGGGATTACCGACGTCTGAATAAATGGATCTTACCAGACAAATACAAGATCCCCAAAATTCGCGGTATATTCATGAAGTTATACAAAAAACAGGTTTTTTTCAAAATCAGACCTCGTAGATACTTATCATCATATTAAGATGACACGTGAAGATATTAAAAAATAACCTCCATGTGAACTTTTGATCAGTCTTAATCCTTGATAATGTTGTGTAAACCGAAAAGATCAGCTCATATGTTTCAACAATCCGTGATTAAATTTTCGATGGAACTAAGTCTCGTGAGTGCATGCGACGACAATATTCTGTTTGCTAGTTCTTCGAACGAAGGGCATCCACAACACTCACTCGTCTCAGTCCATACATTATACAGCTACGGGTTCGTGATTAACACGTCAAAGTATGTAATCAGCTTCTCCACTTTAGATTTTCAGAGACTTCGTAAAGATTGACTAGCTGTTGAACCTCTACGAGTGAAAGTCAACGTGATTCCTAGCTGGTATGAACTTAACTCATTTAAAACGCCACGGCAGCTTTAAAGGATCAACATGCTTTCGCTGGTGATTTTTTTCCAAATTGTTCCCAGGATCCGTAACCAATAAAATATCTGGCAAGATACAACTCTAATAAAAGTTAGAATCCAGAGAATAGTGAATGTTTTAAACCCTTACCTGACACAAAATTAGCGTTTCTAAGTTCGAGAAGATTATATCTAATGCCACTTTTCTATTACATATGACTTGAATCCTACAACTCAGCTTATTTCATTTTCAGATGCCTCGCAAACTGCAGCAGAAGCAGTTCCGCAGCGACAAGTAAACGAGACCATTACATTTCTTACTTCCTCAAAAGTCTGTTGTCAGTCCAAACATGCCACAGCGCCTTAGAGTTCAAGATAGTGGTCACTTAAGTATTGGTCAAACATCTCATTTTCCTAGCGCAATAACGTGGGATTACCATGGCCAGAGATTAGAAACCCCTGTACCACTTCTTCAGTATGTATTACGGTCAACATGGACCACGAAACCTCGACAGTTAGACTCCGTCTCATGGTTCATAAGACATGTCGTGCTCACCAAAGAACAATAGTATCATGGCAGATGCCTTATCTTTGGGGCAAAATCAACACTTCTATACAACAACAATGTTTAAGTGATCAACAGACGCCTTCAGGATGTGTACTTATCCACTTTCGGTTTCATTCCACCATCTTATTCATTTACTCACATATTTATGACAGTCATAACGTTGACCAGATGACCATCAGCAACCTAAACAAAGGATATATCAGCAAAACCTATAGTTCAAGAATTTCTTAATTGTTGGGTATCGAACCATGGTTCCGCACTAAACGCCCCCACAGATCGTAGTCTATAATTCCAATCCATACCGCTATCACTCGAAATCTGTGGAACGACCAAAGAAGACACCAACTGAATATCTAAGGGACTATTTTACACTACGACCCTAGTTTTACGAGGATAATTATGAAGATAAAAAGCATATAGGTACAGAAGGTTTTGACAGACCATTCAGAAACTCGAATCAACACTTATTTGTAAGAATAAGTATCACGACCAGATAACCAAACACTTAGACACCTGCAGCCCATGTTTTTTTGGGTCGACACGGTAGAAAACCACTAATCACACCGTAAGAGGGATTCTACAAAGTCACAAAATGATTAAAAAAGACACACTACCCAAAAATGTTGACAGGAGGGAAATGTCTTGATAAAGAAACTAAGACCTGGCTTATCAGACAAACAGCTAGATCAAGAAAAGCTAAAGGTAGACAGAAAAAATCTTAACTTACAAATTCAAAAACAATAAAATCAACGTCAAACCAACCGACAACACTAAGTTCACAGATCAATAGATATGAAGTGCCTAATATTATGTCAAGCACACATAGGTTATCCTGGCTTTTAGACAGATTCACGCATTCTTCTTGAATCCCATTATGATATTGTCAATCATTAACCTATTAACCATGGTAGTTTCTTTATGAGCGTGTTTGTGTGTACTTCCTACTCTATTCATCACGTGTGTAGCTTATTTTTGTCTGACCATAATCACTGAGTCACGTTTTACCAAAACGAGTTGGCTAAATTGCCTTCTCCACTTCGCTTACTCGCTTTTCATGCTGAATGTCTGTCTGAAATAAATTCAATCAACATAACCTTATCACTACCACCATCACACATATGACGTAAGCCTAGGTGTAATATACGTAGTCAAATGAAACATTTATATTCATGGCATATTCGTACCTTCATCCAAGTCGAAGTGAAATCATCGAGCCACGAACAACAAACCTGGACATCATGTTTACTGAATAATTTTTATACAAATTATCCACTTGATTCTGTTTTTGTTCAATGATAGTTTCTTTCCAGTTCATTCCTTACAATTGTAATAATTACTCATC